CTGTCGTCCCCTTCTTCTATTGCCCTCAATCTTTCCCAGCATTAGGCTCTTCTCCAGTGAGTCCTTCCTTCTCATTAGGTGGCCAAAGTACTTGAGTTTCAACTTCAGGATCTGGCCTTCTAAAGAGCAGTCGGGGTTGATCTCCTCTAGGACTGACCGGTTTGATCGCCTTGCAGTCCAGGGGACTCGCAGGAATCTTTTCCAGCACCATAGTTCAAAGGCCTCAATTCTTTTGTGCTCAGCCTTTCTTATGGTCCAACTTTCACAGCCATACATTGCAACTGGGAAAACCATGGCCTTGACTATATGTACTTTTGTTGGCAGGGTAATGTCTTTGCTTTTTAGTATGCTGTCTAGATTTGCCATAGCTTTCCTCCCCAGGAGCAAGCGTCTTTTAATTTCTTGGCTGCAGTCCCCATCTGTGGTGATCTTGGAGCCCAGGAAGATAAAATCTGTCACTACCTCCATTTCTTCCCCATCTATTTGCCAGGAATTGAGAGGACCAGATGCCATGATCTTGGTTTTCTTAATGTTGAGTTTCAACCCAACTTTTGTACTCTTCTTCTTCACCCGCATCAAGAGGCTCTTTAGTTCCTTTTCACTTTCTGCCATTAGAGTGGTATCATCTGCACAAGTTAGGTTGTTGATATTTCTCCCGGCAATCTTAAGTCCAACTTTTGATTCATCTAGCCCTGCCTTTCTCATGATGTGCGCTGCATATAAGTTAAATAGGCAGGGTGACAGAATACAGCCTTGCCGGACTCCTTTCCCAATTTTGAACCAATCAGTGGTTCCATGTCCAGTTCTCACTGTTGCTTCTTGACCCGCACATAGGTTTCTCAAGAGACAAATAAGATGGTCTGGTACTCCCATCTCTTTAAGAACTTACCACAATTTGTTGTGATCCACACAATCAAAGGCTTTAGCATAGTCAATGAAGCAGAAGTAGATGTTTTTCTGGAACTCCCTAGCTTTCTCCATGATCCAGCATATGTTGGCAATTTGATCTCTAGTTCCTCTGCCTCTTCGAAATCCTACCTGTACTTCTGGAAGTTCTCGATTCACACACTTCTGGAGTCTAGCTTGTAGGATTTTAAGCATAACTTTACTTGCATGTGAAATGTGTGCAATGGTGCGATAGTTTGAACATTCTTTGGCATTGTCTTTCTTTGGAATTGGAATGTAAACTGACCTTTTTCAGTCCTGTGGCCACTGTTGAGTTTTCCAAATTTGCTGGCAAATTGAGTGTAGCACTTTTACTGCATCGTCTTTTAAGGTTTTGAATAGCTCAGCTGGAATACTGTCACCTCCACTAGCTTTGTTGTTGCTCAGCTTTCCTAAGGTCCATTTCACTTCGCATTGTAGGATGTCTGGCTTGAGGTCAGTGACCACCCCATCGTGGTTATCAGGGATGCTAAGCTCGTTCTTGTATAGTTCTTCTGTGTAATTTTGCCACCTCTTCTTAATCTCTTCTGCCTCTGTTAGGTCCCTGCCATTTTCGTCCTTTGTCATGTCCATCTTTGCATGAAACGTTCCCTTCATATCTCCAATTTTCTTGAAGAGATCTCTGGTTCTCCCTATTCCAGTGATGGCGAACCTTTTAGAGACCGAGGGCCCCAAAACTGCCCCTCCGCTCCCACTCCGCCTCCTGCCCTGCCTGCTCTGCCCCTGCCAACCCCTGCCCCGCCCACCTGCAGGGCCACGCATCGCCTCCATGGCCCGCTGCAGCAGATTGTCCAGGCAGCCCTGCAGCACCATGGCAGCCATGCCCTTCACTCACACCCCGCAGCATCATCTGCATGCTATGGGGCATGAGGGCAGAGTCTTGTCCCTGCTCCCCGACTATGTCCTTGGCTGCGCTGCTCCATATGGACTGTGCCCGGGGGCGACTCTCCTCCAGGGGGGCTGCTGGTGAGGAGGGGGCTGCAGGAGGTGGGGCTGGGGCGACAGCACATGTGCCCACAGAGAGGGCTCCGAGTGCCGCCTCTGGCACGCGTGCCATAGGTTCGCCACCACTGCCCTAGTCTATTGTTTTCTTCTATTTCTTTGCACTGTTCATTTAAGAGGGCATTCTTATCTCTTCTAGCTATTCTCTGGAATTCTGCATTCAGTTGGGTGTATCTTTCTCTTTCTCCCTTGCCTTTCGCTTCCCTTCTTTCCTCAGCTATTTGCAAAGCTTCCTCAGACAGCCATTTTGCTTTCTTGCATTTCTTTTTCTTTGGGATGGTTTTAATTGCTACCTCTTGTACAATGTTGTGAACCTCCATCCATAGTTCTTCAGGCACTCTGTCTATCAGATCTAATTCCTTAAATCTATTTGTCACCTCTACTGTATATTCATCAGGGATATGATTTAGTTCATACCTGAGCATTCTGGCAGATGCTTATTCTGATCTCAGAGTCCAAATACTAGGCTAACTGATTGATACTTGCTATTCTATTGCTAGGCCTCTGCAGACCTAAGTATTACATTCAAACTGTTAAATAAACCTTTTCTCAAACTTATTGAATGCAAACTTTAGATTAACACAAGGAACTCAAAGAATTCTGATCAAGTCCGTTTAATCCAGTGGTTTCTTCATCACGGACCCCCTTTAAATACCATTTTGGCTATGGAACATGGCCACAGACCCTCCCCCAAGACTTAGTTCAAGATTTAAATCATAACATTTTTTCAAGCATTCATGGAACCCTGTGTCGACATCGTGGTCACTGAGAACCTTAACACTGCCCACGAGGGAACAGCCACAGAAATTTTGTTTGGAGAAATGCTTTTATTTGATTAGTAATCTTAGGAACTATAAATTATAAAATAAATGAATTTGTATGGATGTGAGTTTGTGAAATCTGCTAAAATGCAATATAACACATATAGAAGTACAAATTGGATCCTTATTGTGTCCTTTTTCTTGGGTTGAATATTCTTACACAAATAATTAATTTGTGAAACATGTTCTAAACATTGTTTAGTTTTTAAAAACCAACAAAAAAGAGCTTATGTATTGTGGTAAAAATGAAAAAAAATTCATCAGGGACGTTGATGTTATAAAAAGTAATATCAAGACAATTTGCAGTCTTTGGGAAATGTTTAACTATGTACATTAGGGGAAGTAGTGCCTAAAACCTTTGTTGTTTGAAAACATGCTAAAATATATTTTTAAGTGGCAAAGTTCTTGAAAGCAAGCATTTGCACTTTATCTCCCAGGTCTAATCTGAATGATAAACATTTAATACTTTTATTTTCCCTGCAATAGGAAATGGAGTGGACGAAACACAGTATTCTGTTAAGTTAATTAGAAAGAATTATATATATGGCAACGTTAACCATAAAGGTAACATTTTATGTTTTTAATGAAAAAGTAAGATGATGCAAGGAATGTGTATGTATTCTGGAAACAGGAATTCCTTGGAAAACCAAGGCAATAAGCACAAATTATTGACACATAAAAAGCAAAACTCTTTGAGACAATTAAAACCAAGAATGACACTCTACGTTCTGTAATCTGGAGCAGACCTCAAGGGTCACTTATTTAAAAATCTGAAACATCCTTCATATTCCAGGCTCAGTCATCATTGTTAAATAAACACTGCCTGTATTTGTTGAAAACATTTCTAGCCCAACCACTAACTAAAGGTTCTTTTGGCTATAAAAATCCACAAAAACCAATTGAAATGAACTAAAGGTGCTGCTTCACCTCCAGGAAAAGGGCAACCCATAGTTGGGATGCACCAGCAGAGGAAGGTCTTCCCCATATCACCCCTGAACTGCAGGACATTGAAACTACTGCTGAAAAAAGAAAGTGTGTTTTTATAGCAGACTGGAAAAAAAACTTTGATTAATTTTGAAAAGTCATATGCTGTGTACTGCCAACATTCCATGTTTTTTTACAGTATAAAGCAAAATATAGAATTTAAAGCAGGAATTTGGATCCTGAAATCAACAAAAATTTGAGCTAAAAAAATAGGTAAATCCTTCCTGACAAAATATCAACATAGAGTCTCTTAGATTATTTTTCCCTAAAATAGTAAATCTGTATCTGAGATATATCACTACAGACTATAGAAGAAACCAAACCTTTTGCCTTTTCCACCAGCCATAAAGCAAATAAGTATGGATATGCAGATCTATCCTTTCAAGCAGAAATTTCCTGATACTAGGCTTTTTGTATTGTGGAATTATTTTGTGTTCAAAGCAATTATTCTGAATGTGAAGCAATCCTATGTTCAAAACACTTGCCCAAAGCAATCTATTTCACTATCAAACCAGCAGTTTCACGCTCAAAATAGGACATCGTGAAAAGAAAACATTTTGAATAGCTTTAAACAATTGTGGGGGTGGAGGTGAGCAGGCTGAGAATATCTATTCCTGGTTGAAGACATTTAGGTCAATAATTCTCAGCATCAGGAACTTGAAGATATGTGGACATCAACTCCCAGAATTCCCCAGCCAGCATATATTCTTAAAATTCCCCAGCCACCAGTCATCTTAAAATTGCTGAGGTTGAGAAGCACTGAATTAGGCCATTGAGTCCTACCACTAGCTCAGAGTTCAAATCCAAATTAAAGCATCCCTGACAGATGGCTGACTAGTCCTCATAAACATTTTCAGTGAAGGGAGGGGCCATCATTTCTCTGAGCAATTGATTACATTGTCGGATTGCTCTTACTCAGAGAGATGTAAGTTCTACTTCACTGGATGTGTTCTCAAGGAAAAGCTAAGGGAAGCTTTAATTTTCTCTGTATTGTCATTTTGCACAATAGCTATGGAAGATGCCTGTTTCATCTTCTTCTGCAGTCAATGTTTATGTCAAAGTGCACAGAAACAGCCCCTATCTTGTCTGCATGGATTTGTCTCTTTCACAAAGTGAAGTTATAGACCCCAACTATTTATGGATTGGACCAAATGGACAAAACCTAAAAAGTAAGTTACATTTTTATCAAGAGATCAAAATATTCATTTGTTTTGAAAATTTACACTATCCAAATGGTCCTGCAAGCTCTATTTGTTCTGAAAATGTTATAGCTCTGTATGGTACATTAACAAAACTAGTAATAATAATAACACTGCACAAAAACTGTAAACATGGTATTTTGGGGAAATAATTGTGTTTTTTCCCCTCAAATTCAGCTGGTAGAGGTGTGAATCAGGAAGTGGGGACAGGAGAGTCTCCAGCAGTCTGGCCAATTCCAAAACCAACACCAGCCATGGATGGAATTGCAGGGACATGAATCCCACCAGTTTCCGATGTGCCTGTGAAAATAAAAATCAAGGAGAACAGTCTTAGGGGAAAGAAAAACAATTATCCCCACTTAACAAAACTCATTCAGAGGCCATTCTAACTCACAACAGTGGTATTTATGACTAGTCCTCAAACTTATGTCAGTTGCAGTGTCCCTGCAGTCATCAGTCACAATCCAGGTGCTTGGCACTGCCTTGCAGTTACAATGTTGCAGCATCCCACAGTCACGTGATCATCACTTGTGAGACTTCTTTGCCAATTTCCAACAATCAAAGTCAATGGGGAAGCTAGTAAATTGCAAGCATGTGACATTCTTACTTAAGCGATCCATGGTAATTCACTTAACGATGGCAACTAGAATTGCCGGAATTTCCATTGCAGTCACATGACACCAGGCTTTATAACTGCATCATTTAGCAATGGAAATTCCAGGCTCAATCATCTTTGTTAAATGAATACTACCTGTATTTGTTGAAAACATTTCCAGCCCAACCACTAAGTAGAGGTTCTTTTGGCTGGTAACAATCCACAAAAACCAATTGAAACGAACCAAAAGTACTGCTTCACCTCCAAGAAAAGGGCAACCTAGAGTTGGAATGCCACAATAGTTGAAACTCTTCCCCATATCATCCCTGAACTGCAGGACATTGAAACTAATACTTCTTCCCAACACACATACACACACACACACACACACTTGTAAATCATAATATCTGAATAGTTATATACTGGAGGAGACACCCTTCAAATATCAGAAAAAACTACTAAGTCCCTTGAATACCACTGTTAAACAGGAAACAAAAGTGAGATGCCTCTTAAAAATGTGATACTCAGCTTTTACTTTCCAAGAGCTGCTGTTTTAAAAGTCAAAGTCAAGACCAGGTGTGTCCAACCTGTAGCCTGCAGGCTGCATGCAGCCCTGGACAGACAGTAATGCAGCCCCATAAGACTGTAAACTTTTTAATATTATATGATTTTTAGCAATAGTTATTATATATTTTATATGTAGGCCAAGACACACTCAAAATAGCCCACGCAAGCCAAAAGCTTGGAACCAAACTTGAATTATGTTGACCTGGCTTCTCATTTCTGTTGCAGGAAAACAGTATGCGAATCTTACAGAAACTGGAAAGCTGATGTTGCTTGGTTTTAAGGAACAAATGTCTGGATCTTATATGTGCACGCTTTCTTACAGAGTTTTTCGAAATGACATGCAAGCAGAAGAAGAAAGATTCAAGACCTATAAATTTATGATTTATGGTAAGAGAAAGAAACTCTGTCCTTATTCTGCCCTATTCTAGGCTGTGCCGAGTTGCTCCTCATTGGGCTAAATTAGGCTAATCTAAGCTTTAGAGCCAAATTTTTAAAAAAACATTTTTTTTAAAAAAAAGTTTGGATTTTCAAAATGTCTAATCCAGCTTTCATTGCTACTCTCCCAAACGAACAGTTGAAAACAAAATATTCTATCAGACATGCTGTAGAATTTTAATTGTATGAAAATTAATAAACTTTATTAGAAAATAAAAAATTCACATGAAAATATAATTAGTTGCATAAATGTACTAATAAAAAGTTTATCATTTGCTATCTCTCTTCCTGCACTGGAAAAGATGTGCAGGCAATATTTTTTTCTGCTATGAGTTGGAAAATAGTTTGGGGGCAAATTAAGAGGTTAGTTGCTGTGAAAATATAGATTTCAGACAAAGAATTCAGTAGGAAGTACTTCCTCCAGCCCACTCACAAAGCTTCAGGGCCAACTCAACATGATGGAAATATCTCCCAGTGTTTTTCTTATTCTTGTCTTTTATCATATTATGGTAAAAGTCTGAATTTGTTTGGGACAATTGTATCAGAGAAAGAGGGTGTTTAATTTTTTCCCTGTGGGCCACTGTTCTAATCAAAAGAATCCCTTCCCTCTAAACATGTTTTCAAATGCCTATGCATTTTTTCCATTATAATGAGTAAATAGCTGAAAGAGATTCTGACAGAACAAAATGTTCCACTAGATCAATATTGAAAGGTTCTCTTTCTCTATCTCAACCTTCTCATAATTGTTCTGATCTAATTAAGAACACCCCCCCCCTTCTATTTCTTTCCCAGGGCCCTATTTAGTACATATTGTTTACCCTTCAAAAGTATATAGTACTCTTGAGTGGAAGGGGAGATGGACAACATAGAACCATGATGCCACTAGATGGCACCCACTAACCTCCAAATAAAAATGCTCCAGATCTGAACAGCCAAATCTTACAAAATATTTTTTCCTGTGAAATTACTATTTTGGGTTTCTTAATTTTTAAATTTAAAAATCATGTATGAGTCTGAGAGACTTATTTGATAAAACATTATGATTCCATCCTACTTGATGCCTGTATTTACATGATATCCTAAATTTCTTAACTGGTTAACAGAACCCAGTTCCTGCATTCCCATAGCATGTAAGATTCCATTAAATGTGATAGCCTGATTAGCACAGTGCTAAGAAAATGAATTGGTTTTCCACAGTACATAGAACCAAAAAATATATCAATCCCATTTTCACCTAGTATGGCATTTTGCCCGATTGCAAGCAGTTTATATTATTTTATGTGGTACTAAAAACACATACATGAGCTATTATGTATTATGTTAAAGACATACTAATCTCTTCAGTTGTGCCAAAATGATACTGGGAAATGTATATAATGCATATTATATGATATTTATGATATGATATGATATGATATGATATGATATGATATGATATTATATTATATTATATTATATTATATTATATTATATTATGATATGATATGATATGATATGATATGAATTATATTATATTATATTATATTATATTATATTATATTATATTATATTATATTATATTATATTATATTATATTATATTATATTATATTATATTTATTATATTTATTATATTATATTATATTATATTATATTATATTATATTATATTATTATATATTGTTGTTGTTAGTTGCAAAGTTGTGTCAGACCCATCATGATCCCATGGACAACGTTCTTCCAGGCCTTCCTGTACCATCTTCTGGAGTCCATTTAAACTCACGCCTACTGCTTCAGTGACTCCATCCAGCCACCTCATTCTCTGTCGTCCCCTTCTTCTATTGCCTTCTTCTATTCCCAGCATTAGGCTGTTCTCCAGTGAGTCCTTCCTTCTCATTAGGTGGCCAAAGTACTTGAGTTTCAACTTCAGGATCTGGCCTTCTAAAGAGAAGCCAGGGTTGATCTCCTCTAGGACTGACCGGTTTGATCACCTTGCAGTCCAGGGGACTCGCAGGAGTCTTCTCTAGCACCATAGTTCAAAGGCCTCAATTCATTTGCGCTCAGTCTTTCTTATGGTCCAACTTTCACAGCCATACATTGCAACTGGGAAAATCATGGCCTTGACTATACGTACTTTTGTTGGCAGGGTGACGTCTCTGCTTTTTAGTATGCTGTCTAGATTTGCCATAGCTTTCCTCCCCAGGAGCAAGCGTCTTTTAATTTCTTGACTGCAGTCCCCATCTGTGGTGATCTTGGAACCCAAGAAGATAAAATCTGTCACTACCTCCATTTCTTCCCCATCTATTTGCCAGGAATTGAGAGGGACGGATGCCATGATCTTGGTTTTCTTAATGTTGAGTTTCAACCCAACTTTTGCACTCTCCTTCTTTACCCGCATCAAGAGGCTCTTCACTTTCTGCCATTAGAGTGGTATCATCTGCACAAGTTAGGTTGTTGATATTTCTCCCGGCAATCTTAAGTCCAACTTTTGATTCATCTAGCCCTGCCTTTCTCATGATGTGCTCTGCATATAAGTTAAATAGGCAGGGTGACAGAATACCGCCTTGCCGGACTCTTTTCCCAATTTTGAACCAATCAGTGGTTCCGTGTCCAGTTCTCACTGTTGCTTCTTGACCCGCACATAGGTTTCTCAAGAGACAAATAAGATGGTCTGGTACTCCCATCTCTTTAAGAACTTGCCAAAATTTGTTTGTGATCCACACAATCGAAGGCTTTAGCATAGTCAATGAAGCAGAAGTAGATGTTTTTCTGGAACTCCCTAGCTTTCTCTATGATCCAACATATGTTGGCAATTTGATCTCTAGTTCCTCTGCCTCTTCGAAATCCTACCTGTACTTCTGGATGTTCTCGATCCACATACTTCTGGAGTCTAGCTTGTGGGATTTTAAGCATAACTTTACTTTCATGTGAAATGAGTGCAATGGTGCGATAGTTTGAACATTCTTTGGCATTGCCTTTCTTTGGAATTGGAATGTAAACTGACCTTTTCCAACCCTGTGGCCACTGTTGAGTTTTCCAAATTTGCTGGCAAATTGAGTGTAGCACTTTTACTGCATCGTCTTTTAAGATTTTAAATAGCTCAGCTGGAATACTTTACAGCATCCACTAGATTTGTTGTTGCTCAGCTTTCCTAAGGCCCATTTCACTTCACATTCTAGGATGTCTGGCTCGAGGTCAGTGACCACCCCATCGTGGTTATCAGGGATGCTAAGCTCGTTCTTGTATAGTTCTTCTGTGTCATTTTGCCACTTCATCTTAATTTCTTCTGCCTCTGTTATGTCCTTGCCATTTTGGTCCTTTATCATGTCCATCTTTGCATGAAACGTTCCCTTCATATCTCCAATTTTCTTGAAGAGATCTCTGGTTCTCCCTATTCTATTGTTTTCCTCTATTTCTTTGCACTGTTCATTTAAGAGGCCATTCTTATCTCTTCTAGCTATTCTCTGGAATTCTGCATTCAATTGGGTGTATCTTTCTCTTTCTCCCTTGCCTTTCGCTTCCCTTCTTTCCTCAGCTATTTGCAAAGCTTCCTCAGACAGCCATTTTGTTTTCTTGCATTTCTTTTTCTTTGAGATGGTTTTAGTTGCTACCTCTTGTACAATGTTGCGAACTTCCATCCATAGCTCTTCAGGCACTCTGTCTATCAGATCTAATTCCTTTAATCTATTTGTCACCTCTACTGTATATTCATCAGGGATATGATTTAGTTCATACCTGAGTGGCCTAGTGTTTTTCCCTACTTTCTTCAATTTAAGCCTAAATTTTGCAACGAGAAGCTCATGATCTGAGCCACAATCAGCTCCTGGTCTTGGTTTTACTGACTGTATAGAGCTTCTCCATCTTTGGCTGCAGAGCACATAGTCAATCTGATTTCTGTGTTGACCATCTGGTGATGTCCATGTGGAGAGCTGTCTCTTGGGTTGTTGGAAAAGAGTGTTTGTTATGACCGTCATATTCTCTTGACAAAATTCTATCAGCCTGTGCCCTGATTCATTTTGTACTCCAAGGCCAAACTTGCCTATTATTCCAGTTATCTTTTGGCTTCCTACTTTAGCATTCCAATCCCCCATGATGATAAGGACATCATTTTTTGGTGTTGATTCTATAAGGTGCTGTAGGACTTCATAGAACCGATCAATTTCATCCTCTTCAGCACCAGTGGTTGGGGCATAGACTTGGACTACTGTGATATTGAATGGTTTGCCTTGGATTTGCACTGAGATCATTCTGTCATTTTGGGGATTATATCCCAGTATTGCTTTTCCTACTCTTTTATTAACTATGAAGGCAACTCCATTTCTTCTGAGGGATTCTTGCCCACAGTAGTATACCTGATGGTCCTCTGAATTAAATTCACCCATTCCTGTCCATTTTAGTTCACTGATTCCTAAGATGTCGATGTTCAGTCTTGTCATCTCTTGTTTGACCACATCCAGTTTGCCTTGATTCATGGATCTTACATTCCAGGTTCCTATGGAGAAAAGATCTTTACAGCATCCGACTTTCCTTTCACCACCAGATGCATCCACAGCTGAATGTCCTTTCGGCTTTGCCCAGTCGCTTCACTCTTTCTGGCACTACTAGTACTAGCCCTCTGCTCTTTCCCAGTAGCATATTGGACACCTTCCGACCTGAGGGGCTCATCTTCCAGGGTCATATCTTTTTGCCTTTTGGTACTGTCCATGGGGTTTTCATGGCAAAGATATTGGAGTGGGTTGCCATATCCTTCTCCAATGGATCACATTTTGTCAGAACTCTCTGCTATGACCTGTCCGTCTTGGGTGGCCCT